CCCCAAAACCCCAAAACCCCAAAACCCCAGATACAAAAAATATATTTGAGAACTTCAAAATTCTAATAAATATGGCTTAATAATTAAGACTGGTTTTTATTCTTGGCGAGGGATCCTAAACACAGATACCTCTCTCTCAAACTTAGCTGCGTAAGATTCTGCATCCACATTATGACTTTTCCTATAATTTATTATTAGAGTATAAATTGATATTATAAAGAAGTCGAGAATTATGATTTTTCAAAAATTTGATGAGTGTTTTCTAGAATTTTCAAAGTTATATGTTGTTATGAATTTAATGGACGCTCTAAAACATTTATTTGAAATGCAAAACCTTGTTCTTTAACAAGAGCAGATTACGGCTTTTGCTAAACACCTTGGGTTTAATCACTGGAAAAGATACCTATTTATGAGAGCTATTAATTTTCTTATTATATATTTTATGAACCAATCTGACTAATCTGTTTACCCTCTACCTGTCTTTTGGGTTTTTATAATTTTTGAAGAACCCTTGTTTATATTCCTATTTCCTTCGCAATGCATGGTGTTCATGTCTCTATTATTCTTGACTCTCTTGGTTTTCTTCTTGCACATATTAAACATCTCTAAAAGCTTGAGGGTAATGATAACTGTCAAATTCAGTCAGAAGAACACAATGAGTAGTCCAATTGTAACATATCCTACAAGAGTGATGTTAGAGTTCTCTCTGTATTTCACGACTACTAGAGCAACTGTGAAGAATATTAGGAAGATTTCATTCGCAACACTAAGCAAGTTATTTGAAGTTTTGGAGAAAGGCTGATACTTCAGTTGATATCTTAGGTTCCAATATAGTAGTATAAGCACACAGGCAAGTTGGCAAATTACTTTTTGGTGGAGAGTTGTAATTGTAGCAGCCAGGAGCATGCGCCTCATCAGAAAAGTGTAGTAGTACAGTAAATAGTTTGGATTGGTTCGTTTGAATTCCAAGAATAGCATTCAGTGTCTTTCAAACTTGTCTGGGTATGTTTGTATATCTTCAAAATAGTGAAGAGGAAATACAAAGGAATATAATCATACACTTCAGAGCATAATGAAGAATATTATTGAGGTTATATAAGAAATAATTTCTAACCATTCTCTGGATCCTCCAAATAGCATGTTGATAAAAATAGATGTAGACAGTACCATTGATATTTCAACAATGAAGCGAGTGCATGACTCATACCTATAAGATTTCTCAAATTTTATGATTAATCTCCAAAAACAGTTATCTTTACCCTCAGCTATTTTAGAGAGGAAATAAAGGAGAATTGCTCATAAAATTATTGCAAGAATCATTAAGATTTTATCAAGAGAATTGAATAGTATTTTTGAGCTGTTTAATCCAAATCCTGAAAATTCTGTATAATCTCGATCAGACTTGTAGCTTAACATTGTAGATATCCATTCAGATAGCATAGTCGTCAAAGGATTCTCAAGGTTAGAATATTTCATAAACTTAAGAGCTGCTCTCAAATTTGAAGGAAAATTTATTTGGAGAAGATTAGCAAAAGACAATATTTGCATTGTATTAGTGAAGATCCACATTTGCTCCATTGAGTCTCCAGTAATAACACTGAGACCTACTGAAAGAATAAAAGAAAGTATTAATGTAATCAAAGCTATTGATGAAACTCCTTTGGCTGTTTCTGATGATGGCAGAACGTCAAACTTGTATCTGAATTCATACTGATTCGATATTGGAATTGAGCTTGTGCTCACAAAGGCCTGAACTTCTGTAAAAGTGACAAGCAACTCTTCATTGGATCCTCCAATAATTGAAGGAGAAACTGAATATTTAAGCGTAAGAATATTATCAGAAGTGTAAGATAGCTTTGATGAAATCTTGTATGAAAAGGCAGGCCCTACAAAAGCAAGCGATACTTCACTACCTGTAAAGTTGTACTTAGTCATTGTGTCATTAAAGGTAAACTTAATTTCAGATGTAAGATAACTAAGTTGGTTATTTTTGATGATGGGTGGGAAATATGTAGACATTCACAAATCTCTGCCTAAAGTAGCGTTATACTCACAATTATATAAGTCTTCAATTTGTCAGTTCTTATCACACCCATCAAAGTCCATTGAATTCTTATCATCTCAAGTTTCTCCGGAATCTTTGACTCCGTTGCCACACAATGGAGTTCACTTGCTCGGCATTTCAGTGTTATCACAATTAAAGCCTGTTTCTGGAGTGCAGGCTTTGCTTCAACCATCTCCATTATATAGGTTTCCATCATCTCATAGTTCTCCAGTGTCAAGCACTTGGTCTCCTCAGCTTGGATATCAATAAGTTTTGGGGTTGGTGAAGTCTCACTTGTAGCCATTCTCAATGAATCAGCGTGAGTTTCAGCCATCGCCATCTTGGTCATTGCCATCGTCTCACTGTTCGAGTGATTGCTTGACTCCATCGCCTCAAGACCTGATTCACTTTGACTTACTCTGAGAGTCGAGTGAGCAAGCATACCCAGTTTCAATTTTGCAGTTGCTGTTGCAGCCGTCTTCATTGATGAGGTTTCCATCATCTCATTCTAATGTTTGGGGGGTTTGGATGATTCCATCACCTCAAGTGTCAGAACAGAAGTTGTACACTTGGGAGAATCCTTGTTGGCAGTTTGAATTAAAGCTAGTATCTTGCTTAAGACATACATTATTTGGAGACATAATCTTTTCTAAAATAAGTTAGTTATTCCTTTATTGATATTTAAAAATAGTTTAGTAATTTAATTACAATTTTTGAATGTTTTACAAAAACTAATCAGAAAAATCAGAATGTGCAGTGTGCTAAAACTGGAATCTTAGAAATTTACCTCATACATCTGGCTGGCTAGAGACTGGAGCAGGATATGCTGAATATCCTTGCATAAAGCTAAATTTTTTGTCATCAATTTCTTTATATAACTCAGTATCATCCCATACGTCAGGTCCACTTTTATTATGTCTGTAAAATTTAACTTTGCTTATAATCATCTTTGCAAAGTTCATAACTAATTTGACTTGGTCAATAGCAGGGAGGTTCAAGGAACCATAAGCAATCCTATATTCATACTCGTTGGGTGTATTATCACTGCTCTGCCGGAGGTATGTACTTTTTATTGAATTCTCCAATCTTGTACTATTGTTAGAAAACCCTCCAAAATAAACTTTCGTAAAATTTTGAGCAATTAAATGATAGTTAGTTGCACTATAAGAAGGGGAAATTGTAGTTTGAGTATCAGACATTTGAAAAGCATTTGAAAGCCTATTTCCTGAATCATCTATGTGATAAAATAGAGTGTTACCTTGGAGTTCAATGCCATATTGGCATCCAGCTTCATATCAAAATCCTTCTACTTCTACCATAAACTGGGGAGTCTTTAGGTATGAGAGAAGAGAGGTTTCCAAGATAGTTGTTGGGCCAAATATCCAGCCAAGGCTTGTCGGAATAATTTTATTTGAGTTCTCAGAGCTTTCTGAGATAGTATAAGTAGTGTTATTACCCGAAGGATCTGTTCCCACTCTATACAAATTAGCACTCTCAAGAGATTTGAAATATTCAAATCTTATTATTATTTTCGAAATTTTTACTGTAAAAAATTGAATTTAAAGGAAGCAAATAGCTTGGAGAATATTATAGGTATTCAGATTTATAGAATTTGTCATGAAGTTATGACTCAGTGTTTCATTGGAATTCTTAGCACAAAATGAAGCAATTTAGTGTGCCTAAAACAGCTGAGATTCTTATTCTGTACAATTGAATTGAGAGAGGTTGATCATAATGGTTCAGAGTTGGCTAAGTTCGATTTTAAATACCTCCACTTATTAATAAATGAGAGTCTCTCTTGATAAATCTAATAAAACACAAGAAGAGAAAAGTCCAAATTTTCTGCAGATTAATTGTCTAATTATCTGAAAGAGTATCTTAATTCTTCTGTCATCTTAATAGTATTTAGACATTAGCTACAGGTATATAAAACGACTATAACACATTTTTCAGAAAGAGATATCCATTTTATGTTTGTGCTTGAAATTGGACAAACTTGAAAGTTGTTTATATATCATTTAGACTTCTTTGCAATGTTAAACTTGAGATTAATAAGTCAACTGCTTTTTAGCAATATCTTTAACTTTATTGTTTTCACAAAAGTAGCAGTACATAGAAATAATATGATTTATCCTACATAAAGTGCTCAAACCGTGTTGAAGCAATAGACTTAGAGAACAGGTTAAAGTAAATTTCTTTAGTATAAAACCTGGTCATGTTTTGTGTTGACTATTAGCTCATAATTTACTTAAAATTTTATTTCTCATGCAACAAAAATCTAAGATGTTTCATTCATCGGTTTGTATCCATAGAACCTGAAGCACTTATCCCGTGCCACTAAATTTTATACTTAATTGGAACCCAAAATTAAGTTAAAATATAAATTTAGGTTCTTCTTTAGATAGTTCGAAAGAAATTTGCCTCTAATAAATCCAAGAAATAACAGAAACTCAATAGAGCAACTTTTATTGGAAGTTTCTGATTTCACTATTTATCACCTATAATGCTACACTAATAAATAATATTTTAAGGAAATTATTCAACATAAATTAAGAGATTTAGATAGAACTAAAAGACCAAAAATAAGGCATCCAGAAAGTGATAAAACAGACTTGATCTGGGTTAAGATTTCACACTTTTTAATAAGAAGCTGAATTAATAATAAACACATTCTGATTATGAACCTTGGGTTTAAGTTATGAAGAAATAATGCTCAAGCAAATGAAGATATTATAAAGATACGCTAGCTGAAGAGACTTTGGGAAAGTAAAGTTGAAGTAATAAAAATATTATTCAGAGATCTTGTCTAACATAGGAATTTATGAGCATACTTTAAAAAGCTCAAGTATTTTGGATATAGGCCAAATTAATTTATGAACTTTTCTCTTCAAGTTTATATGTAAAAACCCAAAGTTATTATTCTAAACTGAAACTAATTCTCCAACTCAAATAGACGATAAATTAATAACTTGGATGCTAGAAGCTAAGAAAATAAACTTAAGGAGCACTCACGTTTTCATGGTGACATCTTCATACAAATATTGAGAACTACTTTGGAAGTCAAACATTACAATATAGTTGTCTTTGAAACGTTCGATGGTGGTGTTTCGATGCTCAGCTCCACCATTATTCAATTCATTGAAAATAGATATTTTTGTGATATCTCCTCTCAGTAAGTAATCAGCTGAGCCTCCTTCCACCATATGTCCTATTGAGTAAAAATCTGGAATGAAATAAAAAGTGTCAGAAGTTGTCATTGATTCAGTTATTAAAGAACCATCCTGATCCCAAACTGTTAGGGTTAAATCTCCAGAAGAAGGCTCAAAAGATGTTGAACTTTGAGCTTTGTACTGAAGAGAATAAAACTGCCATGCAAATAAGGATTGACTTCTGACCACTTTTCTGGACCACTTTTGAGTTGGATCACTCACAAGAGATCAGCCAAAGATGTAAGTTTTGGTTGTTGAGCTAGCATCAGCTCTTAAGCAGCAATTAGCATTTTCTGTCACTATAGTTCCAGAAATATTCCATTGTCCCTCTATTGGTAGGCAGAAGAGTACTAAAAGTAAGTTTGATGTCTTACCGTAATCAAAATGTCGAGTATATGAATAAACCCAAACATTTACAGAATATTCATAAGTAGGAACTGTCTTTTGCTCTATCTGGCCATTAAATCTAATTCTTAAATCATCATGTGTTTTAAGGAATCCCAGTTTCTGGTCCCATTGCGCTCTATCACTTATAGAAAGCTGCATTAATTCTTTAATTAAAGCCTGGTAAAGAGTTATTATAAGCTATATTTGCAAAATCAAACACTACTGGGTAGTTATTGGGGTCTCAGAAGCAAAAGCTGAGCGTAACCATCAGCCAAAGCATTCATTTTTTTAGTTCCATAGTTATATTAATTTCAATTATTTTATGCCAATTAGGGGTTTTGGGGTTTTGGGGTTTTGGGG